CGTATGTAAAACATTACCCATACACAATTTTTACCATAGCGAGTAAGTAAAAAATGATAAAGTTGTTCTGAAGCTATTTTCTTGTAGCATTTTAAAGTAATTACTATTTTATTGGGAATAAGCCACAATTTGAAGGTCAAAATAAGTTTATTGACGTTTCAATATCAATTCGGAAATCGTTCTTAAAATGCAAACATTAAAAAATAAACAAATTTTGTTTTTTAACACTAAATGAAACACGCAGAAGAAATAAATTTCTTAGGACTTTCTTTTGAACGTAACTTAAACTGAGAAAGACTCATAACCAATCTACAACGTTCTTGCCAATCCAGAATTAATCTACTAAAAATGCTGTCAAATACCTCTTGGGGGGCTGATACAACAATTTTACTTAATCTATACAGATCACTAATACGAAGTAAACTAGACTAGAGCTGTTTATGCTACGATACTGCTAACAAAACATCTTTAAAAAAACTTGACTACATTCAAAATATGTGCTTGAGATGGGTTTTAGGTGTCACAAGAACTAGTCCAATAAGTAGCTTACAAGCTCTGGCTAATGAACTGCCTTTAAGCCAACAAAGGCAACTTCTATCACTAAATTACGTTGCCAGAATTTCAGTAAACAACAGCAACGTAACCTACTCAACTATACTTTTCAGAACAAATATATCGTCCGATCTTTACAAAAACATTGCAATAAAAAAACTACCAGTTCCTGAGCGAATAAAACGTATTGGTCTTAATTTAGAACAGTTCAGTCTTACAATGCCTATTCATGTAAATTTTACTCCTTGGATGATCAAACCTCCAAAAATTGACACGTCTCTAAAAGAACTCGAAACACTCCATACATCCTTTCCGTATACATTTACTTACTCTGTGGCGTTACAACCCTTCGTGGGTTGCCTCCACTGTTTTCTGTCGACAACATGCCTCCACTGTTTTCTGTCTTGAGCAACCTCCATCCAATTCTCCACGCCCATAGTGCTTAGGTCTCCTGCTATATTATCTCGCCACCGGAGACGAGGGCGTCCGCATGGTTTCCTTCCAGTTGGGACTTCTTCCCACACCAGTCTTACTGTTCGTTCGTCAGAATGTCTTCTAAGGTGTCCTGACCATTGGAGTCTTTTGGACTTTATTTCTTTTATGATGTTGGCGTCTGGGTAGAGTTCTTCGAGCTCTTATCCTATATTGTCCTGATGCTTCATCCAGCACAGGACCAAAGATCTTCCTTAGGATTTTTCTTTCCCAAACACATATACAGCAAGCTTATAAAAATGTAATATCCAAATATTCAACACCCCATAAAATCTTCACTGATGCTTCCAAATGTGATGTAGGACATGCTGCAGCCTACATCTACGAAAACGTCAAGTCTACTATACAAATTTCAACAAATTGTTGTATATATACTGGAGAACTTACGGCAATTGCCTAGGCCATAAAAAATGTGGTTTTATCAATGAAAGCAAATTTGTTATCATCACCCATTCAATGAGCGCATTACTTGGAATTAAACAGCTATATATAACTTACGCCATACTTCTCAAGATCAAAGAAGAGTTATTTTATCTACAGACTCAACAAAAAGTATTTCCTTCATCTGGGTACCATTAGGCTTATAATCCTGTAGTCTTCACAAACTTTTGCTCCTGTTTTTTTTTGGGAAATGGTACGAACTCAGATCTGAGCCAGATCTGATATTTTTCCTGCCTTGTATATTTAATTAAATATTTCAGTTATTATTTTTATTTGTTCTGCATCTAATTCATCAAGTTCCGGTGTCTTTCCATCCTTTGTTTGTCTGACGCTTGCCGTTATTTCTTCTGGTAGGATTTCTGGACCTGAATTTGCTTCAATTATGGATTCTTGTATTGTTTTAAGGTCGTGGAAAAATTTCACCAAGTTTCTCGTTGCCTACTTCCTAATAAATTAAGGTCAATAATGAATTTATGTTATGAATAATTAATCCATCGAAGTAAGACGCAACTATTTCCTATGAATCAGTAATCCATTAGCAAAAAATCCATATTGAGAAACTGTTATTAAATTGTCTAGTACATGCAAATTCCCAGACAATGAAAATGACACCACAGGTGTTAATTAAATAGTAAAGTCCAGTCTTTTAACGCTCGAATATTCGTTTATGTTGGTAGGTAGAACAGGATTCCATCACGGATATTAACAACAACAGTAATAGGATTCAAAGTTGCTTAAGATAATTGGAATTTTACGGTTTTTAACAGTAGATATAATATAAGAAATGTGTCATAATGGAATACCATATCGCCACGGCAAAATCAAATCGACTGATAAAAATTCTAATAAATGATTTATAGCGTAGATAAATGAATAATAATTGATCAATAAAAGGTTTTCACAGGTGCCAACTTTACCATATTCTTCTCGCACAATTTTACTTAACTGCGCCATATGTAAACGTATAGAAAAAATGTTCGATATAACCTCCTGACCGCAAATGTACTATTGGTATATTGGTTTTTTATAGAACATAACATTTGAATTCTCGTAACGCCTCCTAAAAATAATGTATTAAGTTTATATCCCTGTGTGGCCCTCTATTGGAATATTTTGAAACTACGAAACCGACAGCACGTGCATAATTCCATTTGTTTTGCTACAATGGCACAAAGCAGTCGTAGTGAGCGTGTTTGGAGAAAAAAGGGTAACTACTAAGATAAAATGTTTATACCCTTTATGTAGGTCTACGGTGGCAAAACACTCTACGTTACCATTTTTTATGTACTTCGTATAGGACATTTGTTAGTTACAGTTTTTATTTTCAGCATTATCAGAGGAGGAATTATTGGAGTTGCTCAATAATTCAGATGCATCGGATGATGACTTTTGAAGTGGTGACTATGACAATGATCCAGATTTCGAAAATAAAACGACACATCCAGTTCTGATGAAGCAGGAACAAATTCTGAAGATATATCTAGATCTATTTCGCCTATTGTAGAAGAAACTGATTCCAGCGATGTTTCTAGATGTGTATCTTTGCCAGCTAATTCGAATACGTCTTTTGTAACTCAACCTCTTTCTTCTGGACGAGGAAGACATTCCTTAAGACGAGGAAGGGGACGTATACGAGAGCGAGGCCGTGGTCGTGTTGCAAGAAAAAGGAACATGGGAAGAGTTAGACAAACGACAAGCATGTAATCTAGAGTTAATAAAAATTTAACTTTAACTTTGGTTTTTGATTCCGATATAACTATGGAACAAAGACGCGATAAGATGAACCCACTAAATCATTAAGTATCCACGAAATGATTATTCCATGCTCCGGTGGATGTCCAATTTGTCAGTATTGTACCAGGATTAAAAGCTTTTGTTCTGATCACTCCACAAGGAATTCTATGTGATATAATTATATATCAAGGGGATTCAACATTTCCACAATTATCTAGTGATGTTTTTGGATTAGGAGAGTCAGCCTTTATTGTATCTAGTAAGCTCACTGGTACCAGGGCATAAAATATACTTTGACCGATATTTTACTAGCACAAAGCTTTCTACCGAATTATTGTCTCGTGGACTTTATGAAACTGGAACCATTATGAAGAACCGGATCCATAAAGATGGTTTCATGCAACCAGAAAACCTTTTTCAAAATCGTTAAAGGGTACTTATGAAATCAAAAACAGAGATGATGGCAAAATGGCCATCACACGGTGGATGGACAACAAACCAGTAATAATGTTGTCTACTATTTCTTCCTCGGAGCATAAAGATTATTGTAAGCGGTGTCAAAAAAAAAAATAAATCACATAAACAAGTTTGCCGACCAGAAGTAATTAAGGATTATAATAAAAATATGGGTGGGGTGGATTTAGTAGATCGTATGCTTGCCATTTGTTCGTCGCGTAGTCGTACCAAAAAATGGACAATACGGGTTATTTGCCACCTCAAAGATTTAGCAGTCGTCAACACTTGGCTTCAATATAGACAGAGTGAAAGAAATAAAGGCAGTAAAAATATTTGGCAATTGGGATAAAATAAAATTGGGAGGGAAACTAATTGAACAAAATGATTGCAATGAAGAAGATATAGTTCAATTAATGCCTAAACATAAACACATAAAATCGCCTATTACTCCTTTACCATCAGTTATACGAAGTCAACAAAAAGCAATACTCAATGCAGATTATGCCCCTAAAAAAACAGATGCAGAAAAGATGAAAAAAACATGACAACTCCATGAAAACAACAATATTTTGCAAAAAATGTTAAATTTTCTTATGTGTTACAACTGCAAGATGTTGTTTTAGTGATTTTCATGAAAATGCATACATGTTATATTTTTATTATTTTAAACATTTATATAATAGAGTCCTATGAAAAGGACATTATTTTTTATTTAAAATATTAACAACCTACATCTGTCCTTTATGTAGGACATTAATAAAATCAATATTGTAGGATTAAGATTTTTTTAAACATTTTTTCAGATCCTTTTTAGACTTCCTTAAGCAAGTCTGAAAGCTAAAAATATTAAACTTGAAAAAAAACATTAATATAGGCAGGAGATTAAGATTTCTCAGGTATTTAGGAAAAGAGGCTAAATTAAACATGTTTCTCCGCGTCGTCTCCAAAATATAAATTTTATGAATATTTACGTAAGGAAACGGTGTTATTAGAACACCTTCGCCATCAATGACTATTGCTCCATTAAAATATGCCCTTTCTGCGGATGATAAAATTTTATTTTGTGATGGTACTAATACCCAAACTATCCCTAAACTAATCCACGCAGCTCTATGTTAATTGTCTCTCTGGTTAGTCAAATCTCGTAATTTTTCGACTGAAAAATCCATATAAAAAAATAATGTTTTACGATAATTTTAACGTAGAATTCTCTTTAGAAAACAAACATTTTAAATAATATATGAGTATGTTCATTTCTTAAATATTTTTCTGTTCTTTAGGAATTACAGGACGAAGTTTTCGACCTCTTGGAGAGAAAGAAGAAAGAAACTTTGGCCCACAAACGCAGCTTCTTCGTACGGATGGTCAGCGATCCGAAAATATACAATCCGTCGATAGCAAAGTCACTGCCGTCCACGAGAAGGCATTTGACAGAAACTGCAGACTCGCCTATGTCGCCCGACGGAAATATCACCATTCAACCTCCATCGTAAGTTTCTATCTATTTATTTTAGGGTAAAAAGATGCTACAATAAGTTTTTAGTCATTAGATATTTGGGAACAAAATTTATAACGCCTGAAAAGAAAATTGACTTTCCAATAAAGACATTTTATCTTCAAAATACATTCGTTGTTCCTCTAATTGTGAAGTAAGAAGATAGGTAAATTCAAGTTGTACGGAATCAACTTTTTCTTGAGCTCCTTCAGCTTCTGTAGGAGGACTTTCTGATGGTACAAGCTTTCCATCAGCTTTATTCTGAAGAAGTCGATGTACAAAATTATCACCTTTGTAATCCCACACACGATGGGACCCTAGTTGTAGGGCATAACAATGACCAGTTTCTCTATAATGTGAAGCTGCGTGTCCTCCTTGGTACCTCCCACATCCTACATGACCACAGATCAAACATATCCAGAGAGAATCAGGGGAAGTAAAACTTGAATTTACCTATCTTCTTACTTCACAATTAGAGGAACAACGAATGTATTTTGAAGATAAAATGTCTTTATTGGAAAGTCAATTATCAGAAGAAACAAAAATGTTAAGAGAAAATATGGCAGCTGTGTCTGAAGAAAATAAACAGCTGAGAACTAAACTTGCGAATGTAACAAAATGAAAAGAAAATGGTGCCAAAAAAATGAGAAATTATGAAAAGGTGAAAATTGAGCAACTTAATATTATTCTATGAATTTCTGAAAATTGAGCAACTTAATATTATTCTTGTAATAATATTTATCTTAGCTTTAGGTTTCTATATACAGAGTGGCCCAAAAGTCTGGAAACGGCCAATTATTTCGTAAATTGCTAGTCATAATTGTACAAAATTTGAGGTACACATATTTTGGGATACGGTTGACAGTATCCTAATCGATAGTAGAATACGTCTACCACATTTTTCCATGATTGTCTAGAAATTATTGGAGATTCATCGATAATTCGTTGCCTTAGCTCTGCAAGACTTACTGGTTTAGTTTTGTAAACTGAATTTTTCAAGTATCCCCAATAAAAATAATCTTTAGGATTGAAATCAGGTGAACGTGGAGGCCATTCAATTCTACCTCGTCTACCAATTCATCGTCCGGGAAATATATCATCTAAATAAAGCTGAACATTTACACCAAAATGAGCTGGAGCTCCATCTTGCTGAAACCATATCTGGTTAAAATTGGCCCCAAACAAGTTTCTCAGTGTAACAACAATTTAATTTCTAAATAGCATTTCGTAACTATCTGACGTTAAATTTCCTTCGATAAAAAATGGCCCAATTACCTGAGTACCTACTATAACTGGCCATATATTTAATTTTTGTGGTCTTTGAGTATGTTTTAAACGCATCTAATGTGTATTTACATCACTCCAGTACCTTAAATTGTGTCGATTTACACTTCCACACAGTGTAAAGGTTGCTTCATCGGAAAAACATATTCTGTTAACGAAATTTTCATTATTTTCAATTTTATCCTTCATTACCTCAGTAAACTATAATCTAAGATCGAAGTCATCTTCACTTAATTCTTGCAATAAGTTAATTTCGTATGGTTTAAATTTATTCTTACGTAATACAGGGTCAGGTAAGACTCAAGTACAACCTACATCATGTGCAACCCTGTGTGAGGATGTATGTGGATCTTCAACAAAATTTTTTCTTTTCGAAACACAACTACTGTCAGTTTTAGTATGTAAATAATTAATGTAAATGGTGAGCAAATGTCAAAATCACAGCATTCTACAATTAAATATTTAAATTGATTAAAATCTACATATTTTGCACTGATTTATGTATTTAAGACCTTTGACACTACATAAAATGTAAGTGTTACATATGGTTGAACTCGAATTGAATGACAGATTCCAATAATAACTGAATATACAGGGTGATGAATTTGAAAAAGCAAAGTTACTAACTATATAAGAGAAATGACAAATCTGGCAACATTGTGAATATCAAATATGAAATTTCCGTATCCCAAAATAGGTGTATTTCAAATTTTGTATTTTTTGTATTTTATTGTTTGTTTTATTTAAAAGATAATTTAATAGGGTATAAAATTGCAGGTCACGTCCCATGAAAATACATTCTCTAAAAAGGTAAACCAGAACAAATAAAAACTTTATTCTGCCGTAGAATCTCAGGCTTAAATTTTAGAATAAAGAAGTAAAGTACAATGTTAATAGGCTAGTGTTTTAATCGTGATTCGATTATCGTATTTTTTGCCGTATTGTAGTCTAGAAAATTTTGTATGTAGGTAGAGTTGGTTTTTAGTATCGTTTTTTCTTCTTTTTACTTATTTTATCACCTTTCTCAATATTAGTAGGTTTAACCAGTCTCCTTGTCTAATACCAGTTGTTATTTCAATCTGTTGTGTTATTTTTAATTCATAATACATCCCGCATACGATATTTCTATCGTGAAAATCTACATCGGTTTTTTTTAATTGCGAACTCAGTATCGCCAAAAATTAAACGTATAGGATGGAATGTTGGGAAATAGTATGATTTGATCATTTTTCATAGATAGAAACCTAACTTAAGCAAAGTATGTGGACCTAGATTGTTTAAATTATCACACCATCCTTTTCTTGGTCTGCCAATACTTCTTCGTCCATTTGGTGACTTATCTCATGCTATTCGTACTATCCTCTGCCATTCTACTAATGTGTTCCTTCCATTTCTGTTCAACAGAGTTCAACAGACTTTTCCCTGATATTCGTCGGAGTATTTTCATCTCTGTTGTTTCTAGTAGTCGTCTCGTTTTAGATGTGTCAACTATTGTCTCCGCCGTAATCGCACTGATATTTCATAAAACTTGGTATTTATAATGAGCTGTAGATATATTTAATTTATATCCATTACATAATTGACAAATTTTTAAAGTATAATCACTTTTTGAAAAATATAATCATTATTTAGCTTCCACGAAATTTTTGATAGATTTTATTGATTAGTATTAATTTGAATACTAATAAAGTTTTTGTTTCAGAAGTTCTTCTTGGATCAGTTGGCCTTTGGCCTTCTTATTTCAAGGAATTACCGAAGACGGATCTGCCAGCGATTTGCCAATTAGGTAAAGAATTTAATTCTAATTCTTAATAATAAATTAAGAAGAAAGAAGACTGGTTTGACAGATAATGCAAATGATCCCTTTTCCAAAAGATCTGGAGAAGGACTTGCTTGTCAATTAACCAATCACAGTCTTAATAAACTTTCCTTTGCAGGTTTAGGCACCTAGACACTAAAGTTCGCTTGAAGACAACGGGCAAAGGCCCGAACGGAGCCTCGCCTTCGGTATCTCCTGACGGCGAAAACAGTAGGTCTCCCAAGAGGTCGCCAATCTCTTCCCGAAGATCTTCGCCGTCGGGCACGTCGTCCTAACTTCGGAGAAAAGTTCTAAGGTTATGCAAAAACCTGTCTGATGTGTGTACTTAAGAATTTAAATGTAAATTACTGACAATATGACGTATTGGAAATCCTTAAGGTCTTCAATAATAAATTATATTCATGAGATGTAGTTGGTTATTTTTATATCATAAATCATCATTGATATTATATGAGGAGCATACATTCAAAAACCGATAAATCCATTTTTAAAATTTTTTAACCTGAATATGGATTCATATTAATTTAGTAGCCCTCTCTGTTTCTAGAATATAAAATTCCAACAAAAACCGATATTTTCCCTAACGATGTACAAAGTTGACCAGTTTGAGCAAATGCCGATAAATCCAAATTTCTAGCAAAACCCGATATATATTTAAATAATTAATTCAAGAAAATCTTGGTGAAGATCACGTGTCCACAAAATCTGTTGTCAAAAAGAATAAAATAATAAAGTTTATTGGTAAACTACAAGGAAGAGAAAGTCATTATAATAGAAAGACAGCAAGACGAATTTATTTGGCCGCTGATTTAAGCATAAAGAAATGACATGGCATGTAAAGTTATGTTTAGGAGGATATTCGTTAATGATTTTAACATTGTGTTTTCTACCCAAGCATCAGATGTATGCGTAAAATGTACTAGACTTCAAAATTAGAACGAAAACTAACGAGGTGAAAAAAAGAAAGTTTCGTACTGAGTTGAGTATCCACACCAAAAGAGGTCTAATGCTTTTTGAGAGCAGGTGCAGCCTTTGCCCAAAATACCTATTAAAGATGCGTTTTATGCAAAGCACATTAGCATGTATGTTGTTTGCTGCGTTAATAGAAAGTCCAAACATCCAATTTTTTTACGTGGACTGAAGATCAGGCAGGTAGGGGATCAATTGATATAGTTTCTGCGATTGTAAATTATTTGGATTCTTTTGAGGACGATAATTTTTATCCTCTTTCACGAAGGATGCGGTGGACAAAACAAAAACTCCCATATTATTCATTCGCTGTACTTCTAGCGTAGATTTAAAGCTCCAGTTTAAGTAACAGAAATATTATTTGTATTTCCAGTCTGGGGCCATTCGTATTTACCAGCAGACAGGGTATTTGGGAGAGTAGAAAAAGTTCTAAAAAAAAACCACAATTCTCTCTAGAGAGAAATATAAAGAAATTTACAAAAAAATTGGAGTTGTTAAAAAGATAGGCACTGATTGGAGATTGTGTAATATAAAAGAGCTTAAAGTTGGCTTGAAAAAAGTGAAAGCGCTAGCCAATACAGAGAAAATTATAATAATTCTAAATTTAACCATTGGCAATTTATAAAAATACGATCATTCCAAAACTATTATTTACCAGTGGGTTGTAAAAACTTTTGAAACCAAAATTTTCCTATATTGAGTTGACCATCTCAGAAAAATAATTAACTCGGGGTATTTCCGAAAAAAAAAATCACTTTAACACTTATTAAATCAACAGTTCGATAAATATTGGGAAAAAGGCAAAAGTTCAAATGAAAAGGATGAGAAGGAAGAGGAAGGGGAAACATGTAACGGCCTGGAAGAGAAACCAACGCTTCAGATTTGATTTTATTTTTTACTTTTTTCAAATTGTTAAATACTTATAATAAAAATAATTTTCCACATTCGTTCGTTCGTTCGATTTTTATTTTCTTTTATTAACAACAAAAATATGGTGCTCTTGCAAAGATTTTTCAAGCAAAAATTCGATAAATTTAAAAAAAAAATCAAAAATTAAAACAGTAAAAAAAGATAATATATTAAAATTATAGAATTTTATTACATGACATAACTACTATTTATTTCCAATATGTTTCTTTAAATTGTTATGAGATTTTGCTGTACAAGTTTTTGGCTTTTATCTCAAAATTAGAGAAAGTGGATTTATCGGTTTTTGCATATATATTCCACATATATACAATGCTCCTTTCCAATCCTATAATAATTTTCTATATTAATGCATCAAAGAAAAAATGACGTCCAATTTGCGTACAGCATCACTGCCATATTTGGTTAGATCCATTTCTGAACCTTGATTAATCAATTAAAACGATAACAGCAGTAAATTTAATATAAATATCTAACAAAAAATACAATTACGATGAAATTCTTCAAAAATAGATCAACTGGTGGGCAAAAATTCCGTCTTTTGCGACGAACCAAAACAAAATCACCAAATGATCAGTCTCATTAAAGAGATGAGTCAAGGTTTACATTACCAGCTTGTAAATACATCTTCAACGTTGTTGGCAAATCACCAGTGAGTAACAAAACCGTCTAAAAAAGTATCTTGTTTATAATAACGCTGTCGATCAGGTAAACAATTCATTATTATGGGGAGTTTCTTAAAGTGTAGAGGTGCTGCGATTCTTAGGGAACGGATCATGGAATTTAATTATGGATTCATTTGCAGATTTTTTGTAGTACGTACATTACAGATTAAAGACGTGTCATAAATTAATAAATGTATAACATTTAAATCATGAATGTGTTGCTTGTGTGAGTCCATTTCAAATAGGTAAAGAAATAATAAATAAGACTTACTCACAATCAATTTAATTTAACTATCAGACGACAGGTTTCGCTTTCTACAATATGCAAAGCATCTTCGGGTCTCGATACAAAGTTAAATAAATGCTGAAATAATAAAAACCCATATTAGGGTGTTGTCTAATAAAGATAAACAAAGTAGATGTTGTAAATTACAATAATTATGCCAATATTACAGGTCTGTGGTTTTATTTCAAAATGAGTAAGTTGAATAAAAAGGTATAAAAAGTTTTAAAAAGTTTAAACAGACAAGGTAAGGCCCACAAATTGTTACCACATGCTGGTACTCTATTAATTGATGGATGGTAGAACATGGTTGAAACTACTATGTATTGTTGAATGAAGAACTCAATTCTGCTATTGTAGTTGTTTGACAGTAAGAAGAACCCTCAAGAACTTCCCGTTTACTGTCAAACAACTACAATAGCAGAATTGAGTTCTCCATTCAACAATACATAGTAGTTGCAACCATGTGCTACCATCCATCAATTAATAGAGTACCGGCATGTAAGTAATGTTTATTTATTTGCTGTTTATTTATTTAAATCTATTTAAATGTAGACCACGTTTTAGTAGGAATTTAAATAAAACAGATAATACCTATCAATAGAAACAAAAACAGGGAAAAATGTAAAATAAACAAGCTTGTCAGGTTACAAATGGAAGAAGAAAAAAAGGAATGCGAAGTGACACTCAACAAGAAATTGGAGCTTATTATAGAAAATGGCAGATATCCATCCCAATAAATACATAGAGTCAACAAGATTAAGAAAAGCTTGAAAAATTGTAACAAAACCGAGAACAAACAAAAAAGAAGTGAGTAGAATAGATTTAATAGAAAAAAGATCTTGGATCGAACATTATGTACTTACAACTTCTGACTCAAAAAAGATTGCATTTACGAACACCATTACAACAACAAATGAAGTGGAATACGATGAAGATGATGAAATAACGGTATAAAAATATAACGGTAAACATTAAAACTAGAAAAAAATTAACTAGAGAAATTCCTATTAGTGTTTTAAAGCAAAGCTGCTGCATAGCCCCTATACTCTTCAAAATATATCTAAATGAGGCGCTCTCAGTATGAGAAGAAAATGCTGCAATATGGGTATTTCATCAAGGCCATGAAAATGGATTATTGGAGACGATGTTGTCGGCTCACTAGACTTGATAAAATGAGGAACGTAGACATAAAGAGAGCAATGGAAATTGACTTGGACATAATAGACACTATAGAAGAAAAAAGACTAAACAGGTGTAGATACTTGCAGAGAATACCTGAAAATAGATGGCCAAAAAAGATAGAAATGTGGACTCTGCCCACTAGAAGAAAACGAGATAGACCAAGACGGTCTTTGAGAGATGACGAAGATTTAATGATTGCCAGAGATTTAAAAACTGAAGATTGCTTTGAAACGGTGCCAGCTATAGAAGACTCGCTTATTATACATATACTAATTACAAAACTGAAAATAATAGATCTTGTGGATGTGACGACGTTCCAGGTTTTGACAAAAAATTTTTAATTAATGCAATTATTATTAGAGCATACTATAAGCACCTTTGTGTTAATCCATATAATCCAATGTCTAAATTATTCAGCTGCCTTATGGCCGATTAGGCATAGACGCTGACCATTTCTTGGAATTTAGTGCCTACAATTTGGAACCTATTATATAGTATAATACGGTATCGGTAGAGTTTGTAGTTGACATTTTCAAGCATATTATCAATCATATATTTATAATAAGCGAAATATTCCTGTTTATAGCTTATAATTCAAGACTGAATAACTGCAAACGAATCTTTACATGGATCAAATTAGGAGATACAAATCAATAAAAATATCAGTTAATTTCCCTCTCTATTTTCGATTATTATCAACAAATTTGTCACCTATAACTCTCAATAGAGTAACAATGTTTATTATCTTATGTCCTCTAATGTTCTACCATAACAGCAGTTACTTTCCTGTACATCGGAATTACCAAAATATGAGAAGCAGACGTTGACGTATGAGCTCTACAAGTAATGTATCATTTTTATTTTTTTCTTCTAAGAAAAACTGTTTGATGAATCTCTTAATAACGTGGAAATCTATTTCAGAAGTAAAAAATCCCACTCACATTAAGTTTATTTTGAGATAGTTGTGTTGTGACAGGTATTGATATTGATGCCACGTTGTTTGGACAGAAATAATCAAACATAGAGCAGCAGCTACGTGATGATTCGAATATGGTTTTCGGGAAATGTATAGCTGGAAAGTCAGTAGAAAAACAAATGTTTTAAAAGATGTTAAGTGTTTTAAGATGTTCATTGTACAGTCCAATCGTAAGATTCTTGCTGAACTATTTTCATATTTTTCTCTGAGAACCTCAGTTTATTAGATAAAACATTTGTAAAGCGTATATAGGGTCTTCCAACAATGTTGGTTATCGGTTATATCTTGGAGACTTCTGATATATAGAGTGATAAAAAAAATCGCAACTATACTATATTTGGAA